GGGAAAGAGCGCGTGCTTTTACACGGGCCCGGCTAGCTTTCCTAGTCCAAGCACAAGCAGATCTTCACTGAGACGGCCTCCTCTTAGGACAGAGTGTGTGGAGCCAGTGAGCCTGCTTTTCCATCTTGTCGTGCCGACCTGCTTTCTTCATTGCCCTGTTTCTGGTCATCCTTATCTTTGCAGGCCATTAGGATCGGAAAACTTGCTTCTTAGAGGAGCCACGCTAAAGAACACTGAGAAAATCTTCGGTAAATGTTTTAATTAGTGAATTATTAATAGTAGCTTCTAAAACCAAGGACCTGTTAAGCAGTTAAAATCCGTAGATTTAACTATTGATGAAAGCGTACCATAAAAGCGTCTCTTTGTTATTTGAGGGGCTGTGGATTTATGGCCGCGGTAATTTTCCTCACTAAGAAAACCAGTCGCCGCGTATAACCGCAATCCACAGAGCCGTGACACCTGAGAGTGTTGCTTGCAAATTAAGTGCCTGTAGTTTTTGACTCAGACGTGAACTTATATCTATGAAGGGATTCACACAGTGCGGTTCTGCAAGAAATTTCCTTTAATGGCTGTATTTCTTTGCTAGTATTTACCACTTCTGGTGGGTTACTTTTTATGTTTTAACTGAAACAACTTATAAGTATACAAATGTGTCCCGTTGTTGGAAAACTCAATACATTAAAATCTGAACCTAAAAATAAAAGTGCACATTGCTCTTCATGCAGGAAAAGAAAAGCATTCCTTTGGTCTAAAGAATCCTGTGTGACTTTTTATGAACAGCTAGCTTGCCTAGAAAAATTTAAAATATGATCCGTTTTGTCCAAAATTTCATTTTTATCGTAGCTGCTCATACTTTACGATGTAGAGCAAGACACAGTTGTGGTGTTGTTCTAACATCTGCTCTGTACTTTATAGGTGTTGCTATTTACACGGGCATGGAAACCAAGATGGCGCTGAATTATCAGTCAAAATCCCAGAAGCGATCTGCTGTCGAAAAGTAAGCTGATTGCCCCATGGTTCGAAATGTGTAAAAACTCATCCGTGGCTTCCCGCTGTCGCAAACCCCCGCAGATGGGGGACCATTTTCCTCTTAGTCTTACTAGCAACTCCTTCATGGGATCTGATGGACAGTCAAGTGGGTTATTTAGACCTTAGATTGACAGTCTTACTTTGTGGTGAGGACGTAAATGACCACGCACCCTCAGCCACGTCTGCAGGCTCCCGCCCACACGTGGACACCTGGAGTTCTGGGTCAAGGTCAGTTGTGGGTGCCCAGCATCTCCTCCCACCAGTTCATGAAAAAGTGAAAGTTCAGTCACTTTTCTGGTACGGGTTCAGTGAGGAAAGCATTAGCAGAGGGAACAGTCCTCTTTTCATTAAATGGTAAAATCCTGATAATAAGTCACGGACACAGTTGAATTTGTAAGAAAACGTGGCCCAGAATGATGTCTTCATTGCCTCTCGCTAAAGTGTGTCCTTGACTTGAAGTGTACAACTGCGTGTCCACGGGTTGTGTAATAAAGCGCTCCGGGCTCCTGGGTGATCTGTGGGGAGACTGTCGAGGCATCGTCTGTCTGCTCCTGGCAAGTCGACCTTGAAATGTGATCCTGGGTCTCTGTCCATCTGTGGCTGCATCAGATGTGAACTTGCACAGTTGGTTTTTACAAAAGAAGAATGCTTAGTTTCCAGATGTCTGCATTGACAAATTGGTTTCAGAAATAGATCTTGGAAAATCAAACCTCCTTCCTAAGCTCCTGAGATACCGGCTGAGGATTCAGCACTTTTCCTATGCGGAGGGCATTCGCTCCCTCCCTCCCTCCCCGCCTTCCTTCGTGGTGATAATCCCCAAGTTTGGAACTCACTGGCTGATGCTGCATTGGGAGAAGAAATTGATTTCTGGGTGTTCTCTGAATTAAGAGTCCCAGGCCATGCAGAAGCCCTGTGAACCAGGCTGTGCCCTTCTGTCTCTAGGCGTTCCCTGCCCTCAGCACTTCCCTGGTGGCCCCAGAACACACGCCAGTGCCCATGGAGTGTACTCAGATGTAGACGAGCTTGCATTTTCACTTTTACCGTGACAGTTCGGCGGGGGGCGGGGGGGGGGGCCTTTTTTTTTTTTTTTTTGGGGTGCGGGGGTCCGCCCCCTTTGGGC